CCACTGCTCACCTGCTCAGAGAGCATTGCAGGTAAGTAAGCAGCATAGGTGGATGGTGCCATCTCCTTGCACACCTGGCCTAAAAACACAGCACCCGAGTTAATTGGGGGTTTACCGACATTCTTTATGCCCTTAGGGGAGGTTCTTAGAAGTTCTTTTGTAGAGATAAATAGCGTGGCCAACGCTGATTGATTGAGGCAAAAGCACAGGATAGCTGTAAAAGCTTAGCAGGTTGAGGGGGGGATTGTTTTAAGAAAAACAGGAAACCTCAAACCCAAAAAGGAAATAGAGACGCATTTTTTGGGGGGAGAATGTGTGTGTTGTGGTATGCGTGCGTGCGTGTATGTGTGTGTGTGTGTAGAAAATTTCTGCCTGGAAAACTGCATGAATAAATTCAAAAGACAAGTGATGCAATGGGAAAGGGTATATAATCCACACGAGAAAAGGTAAAATGCACACACAGTTCCCCTTAAAGGAAATACAATGGCCAATCGAAGGAAATTAAAGCAAAACTGTCACCGTTGCCCACTTGTCATGTTGGCAAACCTGGAAAGACGGCTACCACCCAGGGAGAAGAACAGGATGGCCTCCTGGGGGGGGGGCCCACGAAGCAGATCAAACCGGTTCGTGCAGAACAAGCTTTTGCAGAGGATCTGGGAGATTTTAAATCCAGCATTACTCCCCACTCCTAAAAACAATAATAATGGCAAACCAACTAAGTCACAACCATAATTTTTTCCTGACATCTAACTCTGTATTTTTTTTTTGGCTAAATACTTTACATGGATTATCTGTTTAATCTTCCCAAGCATCCTATGACATGCTATCTTTAGTCATTAAAAAAAAATCATTTCAATTATAATAATCTTTCATGCTTGCTTGCTATTACCCCAAATATTTTTTCTAATGACAGAGTTTTTTGTTTTATGGTTAGTGGAAAATGTGGCTTCAAATGAAAATGCTTTGGATGAGGAAATGTATTAAATCGTCCCCCCCTCCCCATGTAAACGACGTTCTAGGCTCTGTGGTTATAGGTTCCTTTCTTAATTTGGTAGTTGTTGGCGCCAGTAAGAAGGAAACTGGGTTTCAGATGGGGCAGACAGTCGAGTTTGCATTTGCAGGGCCCCTGAAGCCAACCTTCCACTGAATTCTTTGTGTTTTCATCATGGAGGTTTGGCCATTTTACCTACAATCCAAGGGACCAAAAGGGAGGTACTGAAGGAGTACCCTGCACAGGACCCCACAGCTCCGCTCCTCTGTTATTTGTTTTTTTAACCCTCTGACATTTCCTGAATAAAAACATTTATTTCCAATGATAAGTCAAAATCCACTCTAATCTGCTCTCTCCCGAGTGACCGAATCTCCCCTATCCTCGTCCAACCCATCCGTGTGACCGTTGCTTCTTGAGCTTACCACATGCAGGACAGTCGGTCCCATTCTTACCTCTCCTTCCATGGTTCTAGATCCGGGAATTCCTTCAAAGCCCGCTCGCTGTAAACTCACCCTTTGTTTAACTGTGTTCACGGTTGAGTTTCCCCATTGGCTTCGTGACGGCGGGTGTTTTAGCTGGACGTGTCGACCCGCAGCCGCTGAAGTGTGAAATGGATAAATGAAGCTCATGCCATGGCACGGCTTGGTTACGTGGGATGACCATATCAGACCCCAAAGCAGGTGCCTGCTGTATAGATGTGGTTGAGAGTCTCATAATATTTATTGATGATAACCATGTCAGAGACTTATGACCCCATCGGTCCTATTTTTGTCAACCACTAACTCGGGGCAGGCAGCAGTGGCCACGCCTGCCTCTGCGGCCCCGGTCACCCGCGCGTGGCCTTTGATGGGTGCCATTTCGGAGACATCCGGGAGCTCGTCCGGTCACTACTGGGGAACATTCAAGCAAAGCGAAACCAGGAAGCCCTGTCTCCTTGACCACGCTGCAGTTGGGGGCGATCACTTAGATGAAAGGAAAGGTGTCCCATGGCAGAGGAGAGCATTGTTCATCCCTGAAGAGCAGTAGAGTAAACACAGTGGCAGATAAGGGCCCCTTCTCGCCTCCAGAGGTCGTGCCCATCTGTCCAGGAGAAGAATGATCTGGGAGGGAAGGAGGAACCTGCCAGTCCTAGTACGAGGTTTCCAGAGCAAACGCAAGGCCCTCGGACCTGACTCGGGGAGGCTGATGGTCCTCAGACCTGGACCCTCCAAGGTCACGTGACCCAGTCTTCAAGGTCAGAGTCCATTCATATCAGCCCTGAGTCTCTGTAGGAGGCTCCTCACTGCTTTCCATCACTGGGTCATGAGTGCAGAACCCTGAAGTCAGGGCCAGGAGGTGCTCTGACAGACGTGGTCCCAGGATGTCCCAGTGGGAGACGCCCTGCCCAGGGCAGGCAGGAAACGCACTTTCTGGAAAAGATGATGAGGGGGCCCTCACTTGGGAAGTTCTCCGAAGCGTCCTGGCCTCTGCGCTCAGCTTTTCCAGAGCGTGCTTCTCAGGGTCTGGCGCCCGCTTTCTGCAGTTGCCACCCTGTTTACGACCACACCTCAGCCGGCCTCACCCCCTTGTGAACTCTCGTTCTGTCACCACGCCAAGGGCTGCTTTTATGAAATGTCACTATGTGCATAATGCCCTCTTTCTTGTACCCATTCCACCAATGCTTCATTTCCAGTAACTCAACCATGTCCACTGTTTGTCCAGCTCTGGCCTATACCCAATCTAATTATTTCTCTGATGCACAGCCTTCCAGAAACCATACTGAACCTTGCCCCGGGCTGTTCCTGGATTGCTCCAGCTCCAGTCCGCATGGGTCTGATTGAAGAACATTGATACGTAGCAGCGCTGAGGGCTCAGTAAGGAAGCATTGGGGCTCTATGGGGGGACAAGTAGGGTGAGGCCAGATGAGCTGAACTCAGAGGTATGTATGGAAGGCAGTTTGGGGGAGTTGAGGCCACAAAGGAGAGTTAGCGTCATATGACAGAGAGCTTTCATAGCACCAACCTCACCTCGGGACTGAGATCTTTTTGCCTACTGATCTTCACCCAAAAGAGGAAAACATCTAGTCCAGCAGTTCTCAACCTTCCTAATGCCGCGACCCCTTAATACAGTTCCTCATGTTGTGGTGACCCCCAACCATAACATTATTTTCGTTGCTACTCTATAACTATAATTTTGCTACTGTTATGAATCTTAAGGTAAATATCTTTTTGTTTTCCGATGGTCTTAGGCGACCCCTGTGAAAGGGTCGTTCGACCTCCAAAGGGGTCACGACCCACAGGTTGAGAACCGCTGGTCTAATCCTATACCGTTGAGATCTATCTAGTGGTTTGGGGAATCCTATATTATAAAGATCCTATATTATTAGGTGTTCTTAATCTTATATTACTGGGAATGGGATATATTAAGATACATTCCGAGGAGTGGAAGACACACGCCTGGCATACGCATACACTAGAATTTGACAGTCAGAAAGAATGACGTTCCGATATAAGTGACACCATAGACCAGCGGTTCTCAACCTGTGGGTCGCAACCCCTTTGGGGGTCGAACGACCCTTTCACAGGGGTCGCCTAAGACCATCGGAAAACGAAAAGATATTTACCGTACGATTCATAACAGCAGCAAAATGACAGTTATAGAGCAGCAACGAAAATAATGTTATGGTTGGGGGTCACCACAACATGAGGGACTGTATTAAGGGGTCGCGGCATTAGGAAGGTGGAGAACCGCTGCCATAGACGAAGCAAAAATATGGTACCATTTAGCGTAATGTAAAACATTATGAAATGGAAGAAACCAGGCGCAGAAGACCGCATATTGGCATGGTTCCATTTACATGAAATGTCCAAAGTAGGTCAACGAAAGTAGATTAGTGGTGGCCAGGGTTCTGGGGAAAGATGACAGGATGGCGTATGATGACCAATAGGCACGGATTTCTATCTGGGTGGATGAAAATGTTCAAAATGAGTAATGGATCGTTGCACAGTCTTGTGAATATACTAAAACCCATTGAATTGTTTACTTTAAATAAGTGATTTTTATGTGACTTATACCTCAATAAACTGGTATAAAATATTGTGTTGAAAACATGTTATCGGTTCGATTTTTTTTCTCTTAACTACAAACGCAATACCGTTCTAGCCATAATTGATATTTTTAAAGTTAAAAGTTTAGAGGTTGAAACCAGACACTGGCTACGTTCCCTCATACTCAACCTTGACTTTCAAAGACCTGGGGTTCACGGCATCTTCATTATTGGGTGGTGGTTTCTTGTTCCTCCACCAAGAATCTGACTTAAAATACCACAACCAAAGGAAAACAAGTGACCAAAATCTTAGTCATGTGGAAGGAGAAGTTTCTAGGCAAACATCCAAATGTGAGGGATAAGAAATCATAGCCTTAATCTTTGTTTTCTGTTGAGTGACTATCAAGCCATGCTGAGTGGTTTATGACTATCATTTTAGTTAGTCATTCCACTGACCTCATACGTGAGATCTTGTCGATTTGCTTTACAGATGGGTAAACGGAGGCATGAGGGTAGTTAGTCCCTCGTCTGTGTAAAAAGCCAAGAGAAGGTGTACCATGTGAACTCTGACTCTCCCAAGCTCAAACTCTTCTTACTGTGAATTGGTTGGGATGGGCCTGCAGGGTGACCACCTTGTAAACTTACCAAAACCGCTTACTCTGAAAGCAAGGCGTATGTGTTCATTTTTTTCCTGCTGGTCTAGAGTCCATTGCTCAGCATACTGGGAGAAATGGCTAACTTGTCCTTTTAGACAGCTTGACATCTTTATAGCTTTAGATGTCTTTCTATATGGCATGACGTGAAGGACAGAATTGCTTACATTACAAGCAGATTTCCTACCCTAGGAAGAGGGAGACCTATCAGGATGGCAACGTTGGTCTTTTGTTAATGCAAACTATTTAAAAATTATGTTCACATACACGTGTGGGTAGTTTTCAGGTAGAAACTCATTTAACGAGTCAATATTTATTTTTCTGTTTGCAGAACAATGGTTCCCTGGTTTGGTGCCAGAGTCACAAGCAGTGTTCTAAGGTACGTTTCGTATGACCACATCCATAGTAAGAAAAGAAAAAACTTTGAATTGGGGAGTAAAGGTAGAGTTATAAGAAGTTGGGAAGGTAGTGCAGAGAAATAATTCTTCACACCCAGTTTCCACCAATGGTTACACATTATGCATTTGTAGAACAATATCAAAAAGCAATACCAATTGACATTGGTATAGATGTATATCCCAATTGGTATATATGTGTATACCAATATGGTATATATGCACATAGTTGTGTGAGGTTTTATCACATGTGTATAATCAGCTAGTGTAGCCACCACTGCAATCAACGTATTGTATTTTGCCGTGTATGATGTGCACCCACGTTTTTGGCCCAAATTTTCAGGGGAAAAAATGTTTTGTTTTATTTTTTTAATTCAAATTTTTATTTGTTTACATTTAGAAACTTTTTTTTGTATTTTAAAGGAATTTTAGCATTTACTTTTTAACATATGATGGTACAAGACATTTTATGTAACAAATAATTACAAAACAGAAGAAAAGATACTAGGTACAAGAAATTCTATATGCTAGTAACAAATTTATGATATTTACTCGTCATAAAAGGCCAAGAACTCTTTGTCATTGCAAGTTCATCGTAAGTTCAACAAAACCGATTATCATATTCCAGGGTATTATTTTGTATACGGATATCGATATTGATTTTTAGAGTTACACTTTTAACTCATAAGCATAAATAAAAGAATTGGAAACATTTATATAGATACAGAATTAGTACTACCCATGTATAATGTGCATCTTTATTTTTCCCTCACAAAGTTGGGCAAAAAAGTGCATGTTATACACTGCAAAATATGGTACATGTATCAATGTTTGTATCTACTACCTTATTTCTCTCTTTAATTTTGTAATTTTTTTATTCAAAAATAAGAGTTTAAGCAGAAAGCATCCTCCAGTTAGACCAGATAATTTAATACATTCTATTTACCTATGTTATTTTTATGTAGTTTGTTTATGTGTAGGAATTGTTGGTTAAATAATTTCATTCTTTAAGAAAATAGTCTCTTTTTCATTTTGGGTTATTTCATATTGTACACACATGTTGTAAAGTTGTCATTATACTCATTTATATGTTGGATAGCATAAATTGCTTATCTCAGTCCCAAAACATCACAATATGAACATCATCTAGTTCCAGTCTAGAAGTAGGTTTTACATTCAGATTATAGAAATGAGTGAAGTTTAAACTTGCTAAACATATTGCAGGAACTTTGGAATCATAATAGCATTTGATGGGATTTATTTTGTGGACATTACTGTTAGACCTAAAATTGAAGCATTTCTTTACTCTTTTTTTTTTAAGTTTATGGGGGTGACAATGGTTGGCAGTTACATAGGTTTCAGGTGTACAATTCTGCAATACATTTTGTTTTATGACCAAAATTTCATCAGAGCAATACGCAAGAATACGAAAATAGTATACTTATAAAGAACATTATTACTTTGAAAGGTCTTTCAAGCACCTTATCTCAAAGTAAATGTAGAATAATATTCCTAAACCTGAAACTTTCTTATAATGAAAAATTACCACATTCATGCATGCATCAGATACACATGAGTGTTATTGAAAATAGAACAGAATTATTATGGGAATGTGAAATAATGTGGTGAAAAATAAGCTTGCTTCGCTCTGGCACCCTAGATCCTGAGCAGAAATGAAATGTCTGGTTTATGGTCCTTTTTACCCTTTTTATATAATATCATAAGCATTTGCTCCGATAAGACATTTTTCTGGTATCTACTGTATTCTAGTAGTCTTTCCTTCAGTAACCTGCCAGCAACCTTGGTCTGAAAATATTAAATAGAAATTCCAGAAATAAACAATCCGTAAGTTTTAAATTGTGTGCCATCCCGAGTGTCGTGATAAAATCTTGCGCTGTCCTGCTCCATCCCACCGGGGACGTGAGACTTCATCCCTTTGTCCCAACGCTGCTCACCTATCAGTCTCTTAGTAACCATCTAGGCTAGCAGACATGGAAAGACCACACTCATATAACTTTCACTACAGTATATTGTTATAATTATTCTATTTGATTATTAGTTATTGTTGTTAATCTTTTAGAGTGGCTTATTCATAAATTAAATTTTATCATAGGTGCATGTATGTATGGGGAAAAAAGATTGTATATACAAGGTTTAGTACTATCTGTGGTTTTAGGCATCCACTGGGGCCTTGGAACGCTTTCCCTGTGGATAAGGGGGGCCTGCTATAATTGTTATTCAGCTGGAGCTTTGGGTAATTTGTTTATATTATCATTGCAAGAAAAATATTTATATATATTTATGTATTTGCCGTGAAGCTAACTAAATTTCATTAGTAGTGCTTTTGTTTAGTTTTCTATTAGTTGGATATTACATAAATGATAATTGGTTGTATCAGTACTATTTTTCATTTACGCACCCCTTTTCTCCTTATCCCATCAAGAAATTAATTCTTTTTCACACACTGGAAATGTACACACTCGAAAGCAGTCATTTGAACTACTTTGAAAATATCCTAATTAAAGAAAATTGCCACTCTAGGGGCTGCGAGTTGTTACGCCCTATTTTTGTAATTGAATGATCAAGACTGACACAGGAGACGGAACTTTACAAGAAAAGAAATCAATTCCTTTTGCCTGAAAGTGAGAACGAATCAATAAGCCACAGCTAACTCCAACAGAAGCTTTCGAATATATCACAAAGCTGACATAAATTTAAGGGTTTTCTTTAGTCTGAATCCTTGGAAAGGAATTTTACATGTTAAACAAAATTCATCTCCTTTGGATATTTGCATCGCTGGATACCTTTACAGATACGTAGAATTTATATTTCTTTTGAGATTCATGAAGCACGTGTAGGCTTTTCCTTTGAATCTTGAGGTTAACGCGCTGAATGGTGAATGATAGTAACTCCTTTACCTGTGCAGAGATTCAGGTGCATACCATAGTTGATAATGGTCCCGGAATCACTCAGTACATTGATAGAGGCGTCCTCAAGTTTGGAACACTGTCCCTTATGCTCTATTGCATAGAGACCAGCAATTTGAAAAACCATTTTGAACAAATATTGGGACAGACGAGTAAGAAACAAAACAAAAAAACCCAAAAAAGCCCAGAACTAATGTAGATGATATAACTTTCTGAAGATGTGTCCAAAGACAAGGCTTACGTAATATTTTATAGAAGCCACACACTTTGTCATCATTTCTGGTTACTCTCCGCAAAGCCTGTCCCATTCAGAATCCCTCCAGCATCTGACCTCTTCTTCCCATCTCACTGTACCCCACTCCTTGTCCAGTCCGCTCTCATCTCTTACCTGGACCAATCTGTGGGCATCCGGTTGGGTCTCCGAGCTGCTCCTCTTCCCCCTCGTGGCTGCTGGAAAGACCCTTTAAACACAGAAGCTGAGTCATGCTGTTACCTACCTTACACCTTTTGATGTCCCCCACCTCCCCGCACCTGCCCAGACTAAAACATTGGCCCTGTCTAACCTTTCTTCCCCGGTCACCCTCCCACCCACTTATAAGCTGCGTCACCCCTACCACACCCCGACGTGACATCGCAGACTTATTCCTTTTTCTGTGAGCGTCCGTCTCCTTCACCAGAAAGTAAGCTACCTGGGGACATCAGCTCTGTTCTCCTTGTTCCCTGAGATGCCCTCAGAGCCTAGAATGGTGTTTGACACACAGCTTGGTCAACACATACTTGGGACGAGTGAATGACACCCATACATTCCATATTTTCCTCTGCAAAGGACATCATTACTGCATTACCTCTGGGCATGAAACAATATGCAACCCATTTCGTATCAGTGTACCTTACTTGGCATGATGATTTATTCTTCACTGGGAAAATTGATGATTTTTTTTCCTGGACTGATGTCTGCACAGTGAACTCAAGGGTCGTTAGCACCATTCAACTCCTGGATAACATAGAGTAGTAACTTCGTGTCCAGCAAAGGCGCAGTCAAGTGGTTCTTCACCTGGGGTGGTTTTGCTCCCCAGGGAACATTTGGTTATGGCAGGAGACATTTTGGGTCATCCCCACTGGTGGTGGGAAGCTACTGGCATCTAGTGGGTGAAGGAGTGTGGCCGTGTTCCAATAAACGTTTTTGTTTTTGTTTTTGTTTGTGGACACTGACATTTGAATTTCATAGATTTGCCACGTGTCGTGACATTGTATCATTTTCTCAATCATTGAAAAATGTCAGAACAGTTCTTACTTAGCTCAACAGCTGTACAGAACCAGGTGCCAGGCTGGCTCTGACCATTTGCCACAGGGTGCCAATCTCTCTTGGATGTCACTGCATTCACGTCTGCGAAACCACACTAAAACGAACCAACACGATTGCATTCTTCTCTGTTTACAAAGACGTATCTGGATGCACTCAAACTCAAAAGTGGACACCTTCTGACATCGTTATTGGTTGTGGTGCGAGGATTTGCGGAATGAATGGATAGGAAACAACAGTAAGAAAATGTCCAACGTCAATTATTTGAAAATCCAATGTTAAAATGTGATTATTCGACCCAGTAAAACTTGGGAAAGACTTCAAAGTGGGCAAAATGAAAAGATTCCTGGGTGTCCTGTCCGTGACACCCTTCTAAGTCATCTGCCTTGTCGGTTGTCTTTGAGCCATTTTCCGACTCTGTAAATGGTAGAACGCAGATAATAATGTAGGTGTTTCTTGTCTGTGGAAATACAAATGATTTGTGTCCAGGGATGTGCGATGGACACCTACCCCATGGGTAGCTCTTCTGCAGCTGTTTGTCGGTCATTCCTTACTGTGTGGGACTATATGAACAATTCTTGGATATCTCCTTTGACCCAGATGCAACGCCTTACTGGTTCTTGCAGGATTCCATGAGTTAAATCAGATCAGGGACACACCATGTTCTGTTTACACAAGAGTCATGCATTTCCTTCACAGAAGATTTCTCCTTTCACATGATGCTGGGTTACCTTGCAAAGATTGCATCTAAGTG